AGAAGTGGTAGAAATGGATCAAGTCACTCTGCAGAATATGGAGCTTCAGCTCCCTCAATAGTAAGATTATCTTAATAGATTGCTGCTATAAAGTGTGTGTGTGTGTGTGTGTGTGTGTGTGTGTGTGTGTCTGCTATCTTTTTCAATTGCTGTCTTCCATATTATTTTGAGTCAAAGTCCTTCACTGAATTTGGAGCTCACAGACTCAGCCAGACTGGCTGGCCAGCAATCCCCAGCAATCCTCCTGTCTCCACCTCTTCAGTACTAGAACTGGTATGTGCCACCACATCCGGCTGTGTATGTGGAAGCTGAGGTCACAGCTCAGGTCCTCACGCATCAGTCTCTTTGAGGACTAGGCAATCTCCCAGCCCTAACTGCAGTGTTTAACAAAATCGACTTGAGGGTGATTTTGTGAACAAAGAGGATAATTTGCAGGGTACTTTGATTTTTTAAAATAGTATTAGGTGTCAATAAAGTTAAGCCTTTTTTTTTTTAAAAAAAAAAAAGCACACACACAAAAGCAGGGTCTCACTGTGCAGCCCTGGTTGGCCTGGATCTTGGTATATAAACAAGTTTGGCCTTGAACCTATGGAGAACCACCTGCTTCTGCCTCGTGATTGCTGGAATTAGGACAGGAGCCACCAAGCCTGACTCCCATTTTCTTTCTTAAGATAACTTTTAGACTCAGATTATAAATTGCATTTTTTCTGCCTTTTTTCTGTGTATAATACACACCCCATACATTCACTATTTGCCTAATTCTTACTTCTGTGTCTGGTTGCATTTAGTAATTCATACTGTTGTTAATAGTATATTTGTTTAAGACATGGAGATTGGTCTGGTGAGAGTGCTTAGCAGGTCAAACCCGTTGCCGTGAAACCCTAATGACTGAGCCTGAGAATCCACAGTAGAAGGAGAGAATGGGTTCCTAAGACTGAAAAGTGAAAGGGGGAGAAAGTTGTTCTTGGATAACTACGTGCACTGTAGCACATGGGCGTCCACACTCAAGACATATGTACTATTCAGTTACACACAACATGACAATAACAAAACTAAAGATTAAATAAACTGTATGAGACTAGTTCTGAAAATTCAAATAGAGTACAGTGGGGTTAGGGATTCTGGGAAGAAAATACAACCTTGAGTGCCACTGTGTGCCCCTCTCAGGGTCCACCTGTGTACCTGCTTGTGGTGTGAGTGTGTGTATGTGTGTGTATAGGTATGTGTGCATGTGCTTTTGTGAGTGGTGTGGATGTGTGTATGCACGTGTGTGAGCCCCTGTGTGCATGTATATCTGTGTATGTGTGTGTGTATGGGTATTTTTGCATGTGCTTTTGTGAGTAGTGTGTATGCATCTTTGTATATGCATGTGAGACTGTGTGCTTGTATATGTCCGTGTGTGTGTGTGTGTGTGTGTGTGTGTGTGTGTGTGCCTCTACCCACTTGATCAGCTCGCTCCATTCCCTCTTTGCGGGCGGCCACTGAGAGACACTCTCAAACCCAAGCTGCCTCTTTCTCCTGTTTTACAAAGCAATGAGATTTACATTTTCAAAAACCCTTTAGATAATCACGAAGCCCAGAAAGTTCCACTCCTCTGAGGTTTAATTAGGAGAAACTGTCTTTCTGGTGCTTCAAGATCTTCATTTTAAATTTCTCAGAGGAAAGGAGAGGTTCACCGGGAAGGAAGGCGAGCTGTGGGAGCTGTGCACGGCTCTATCCCTCGCTCTGCCCTGCTGTGAGGACTGGAGACAAAGGCGCCTTGTGGGTCATGGAAGTCACACTGTGAGCGTGCTCTGTATCATTAGAGTCCAGAGAACGGCCATGATCAGCACGCAGATAGCACATTAGCGATAGATAATAGTGTCTAAATAAACACAGTCAGCTCTCCTCTCTGTCTCTAGACCCAAGCTTATCTATAAATACTCTAATGACGCCTAGCCAGCCAATTACCCGCTTCTTGGAAGAGCCCCTTATTAATGGCGTTGCAGTGAGTGAAAAAAAAACATTAATTATTGGACACAGTGGGATCTTTTACGTTCTGTCTGGTCCGGACAGCACCAATTAATGCAACAATTATTATCAACCACCAAGGCAGTGTACTGAGAGCAGCCACCCCGGGCCGGCTTGATGGAGTGGGAAGAGCATACTCAGCCAGGGAACATCACCCACACTCCCTTATAAAGCCTGCCTCTTCATCGTTGTGGAGGCTGCTGGAACAAAGTGGGGGTGCCTGGGGGATGTTATTTTTCTTTGAAGTTCCAGGACAGCACCCCTGGGGGATGAGGATGGGGGGGAGATCTGTTCCACTGCAGTGCTGGGTGAACTGGATGAAGGAGGAGCCACTGACTGGGCCCCTGACATCACCCTCCAGCCCCGCTGCTTCAAGAAGTCTCGATATTTCCAGTCTCAGGGCATTTGCACAAGCTAAGCCCCATGCCTCCAAAACCTTTCCCTCCAGTATGAATTAGTTCCTTCTTTTTCTGTTTATGGCATAGCTGTATTACAAATTATATTTAACAGCTGTATTTTATAATCTTATCAGTGTCTCTTCCATGAGAATGCATAAAGGCAGGAGGTTTGATTATTTTTTGATTATCCATCTACCCCACTGTCTGTGAATATCAGGGGTTTGCTAAATAGTGGATCGATGAAGAAACCCTCATGTAGAAACATATCCAAACTGCCAGGCATCTTGTGAACTAAATCTTTGTCACAGAATTGCACAGAAAAACAAACAAGATAAAGCAAAACAAAATCCCAAGTTCACCCAACATATTCCTTTAATGGCAGCACTCTCTCTGGCAGACTGGATAACCACTCTACTGCCACACCGAGAAAGCCATGACTCGCCTGAAGGGCCCCTGACAAGCCACCCTGGAAAATCAGAGCCTGTGTAAGAGGCCCACAGCCCAGCACTTTGAGTTGGTTCCAATATGAACCTGCCCTACACCAGGTTGGAAGTAGTTACAGGAATTCTGCTGTTTTTCCTTCCCGGTGACAAGGGGGAGATTTGCTTCTGGGAGGCACTAATTATATAGCACTTTGGAAAATTGGCTCCACTGGGGCTTATTCCCCAGAGTCCAGACCATGGCTGAGAGGGGTGGGTGGGCTGAGTGGCCCTTCTAGAGGGAGAGTCCAGGAAGAGCCACTAGACGACTTCCTCTGGGGTATGAAGTGTTTGCATGGGTTGGATCGAGTCACAGCCAAGTTCGTGGAGTTTGTCTAACACCCTGAACCAGAGTATCCCTGCCAACACTGGGGTCTGGCACATCTGTCCTTAACTGAAATCAGCATCTCCTGAGATTTTCTTTTATTAAAAACATTTGTATGTGCATGTTTGTGTGTGTGCGCGCGCATGTGCGCGCCTGTGTGTGTGTGTGTGTGTGATGTGTATATGTAGCCAGAGGTCATCCTAGAGTGTTGTTCCTCAAGAGTCATCTATCATATCCAGACAGGTCTCTCACTAGATCTGGGGTTTGCACAGTGATTAATCTGGTTGGCCAGGGATGGATGCATCTGTCTCTGCCTCCCTGGAACTGGGGTTTGAAATGCGTCACTGAGCTCAGGTGCTGGGGATTGTACTCATGTCTTCATACTTGCCCCCAAATCACTTTACCCATGGAACCATCTTTCCAGTTCCTACCCTAAAATTTCTGAATAAAATTAAAGCTCAGAGGCAGTTTTGGGATCCCTCAGCCCAGGTCTGCTGTACAGATGTGGCCATGACAAGCATTCCCATCTCAGGCCTCCTAAAAACCCATCATCTGGGAAGGAGCCCCCACAGAAAGCTCAGACATGACAGGGACACTCAGGGTGCCCTGGAGGGGGATGTCTTGCCTTCATCTCCCAAAGTGACAATGACCTCACCTCACAGTGATCTCATAGCCTTTGAATGTCTCCAGCACATTTGATCTCCATGACGCACTGGGGCCCAGCATGGACTGTCCAGCTTCCAAGCTGTTAGGGATACACAGGGTCTGTGATGTCCCCACTCCCTTTTAGTGCTGAGCTCAGTCATGCCAGCAGGGCAGACCTCAGCAGAAGTCAATTTCAATGCCATGTGTGGTTGAGTTTGTGAGCTTGTTGCTCAGTTCTTAGTGCATAGGGCTCACACCAAAGGGCTTTACCTTTCAGAAAAAGCAAGAGAGTGAGTCCCTAGGACTGCAGGGACTGTTGCTAATGGCCTTTCGTTTCCCCTAGGAGGCATACTTTGGGTTCCTGCTGGCTTCTGGGGACACAGAATGGAAATATAAATGTCATCTCAGACAGGTGGTTGGAAAGGAGCAGACTGACTGGCTTGGCTTTGATTCGGGCTCCCCACCACCAGCTGGGGGATGTGGGGACACAGTGCATGATACTGAATTCTTTAGTGCTATAACCCTCTTGTGTTGAGATAGATGTGATAGTCACACTACTGGTACTTTAGGGTGCAGGGTGTGCTAACATTGCTGGGACAGCATTTACTCCAATGAATATAAGGGTGACTGCCAACAGGTGGGGATCTTCAGAAGGTTTCATGTCACCAGTCATTCGACAAGTTTATCTCAGCATCCATGGAAGCTGTTCAGAGATTTAGGCCTTGGGGACACAAGGTGACGCGGACTGATTGTGTCCCCCGGTTGGTTGCCGGAACACTCATTCTTGAGGTTCGGTTTCTGTCTCCAACCCCACGTGGACAAAACACTTGATAAATGGGGGGAGCCAGGGTAGATGGTGGCGTGGGCTATTTAAGAAAGAACCGGAGTCAAGGTACTAAGATTGTAGTGCCCAGGACAGGGCTGGAGAGCCACTAACCATTTTTAAATCGCAGTGACTATAGACACAGAAATGCCCACATCAAGACAATTGAAAACCTCAAATTACAGACTACCAATCAGATGGTTGTTCCCAAAGCTTTGTTTCATTGGTATACAGGTGTATGCAGGTGTGTGCAGGTGTGTGTGTGTGTGTGTGTTTGTACACATGAAAGCCAGAGATTACCCTTGTATGTTTTTTCTCAGGTGTCTACCCTTCTGTTTGAGACAACCTCTCACCAGCCTGGAGCATGCAGAGAAGGCTAGTCTGACTGACTCATGAACTCCAGAGACCTGCGCATTCTCAACATTGAGATTACAAAGGCACACTACCCGCCTGGCATTTTTACCTGGATTCTGTGGCACTGAGATCATGTCCTCATGCAGGCAAGGTAAGTGCTTTACCATCTAAGCGTCCCCACAGCCCAGGCTGTCAAGACTTTTACGTCTAGTCCCTTTGGAAACTAATGTTCGCTGTCTTTGTTCTGGGCACCTTTCTGTGTTTATTTTTATCAGCCGATACATAGGAGGCTGTCCTTAAGAGCCGTTGTTCAAGTGTGTATGTCTGACTCATTGAGATTCCCTGTAGCCCTTCAAGTGACAATTACGAATGCCAGATATTCTCTCTCTTAAGTCTGGCTATCCTGAATGTAGTGCTCAAATTTGAAGATTAATCTAGGCATTTTTCATGTATGGAAGCAGCTTGGCAGGAAGGAATCATTTCAGACTGCATGGGCGTGACTTTGAGATGGGGGCCACCTCTTTCTTTGGCTTCTAAGTCGTCTTTCTCCCACCTGCCCTATTATTGTCCATGGCTCACCTCTGACAATAATGCTTCTCAGTTTCCTGGAAACCGACAATAATGCTTCTCAGTTTCCTGGACAGTTGAAGAATATCATTGCCATTTAAACAACAAAATGATTTATCACAAGTAGGAACTTCTAGCAATTTCCACTGTTATTCAAGTCAAAAGAATTCTATTTTAAATGGAAACTATAGTTCATCTCTACTCTGATAATGTAAATTTTACACAGAGCATGCTAATAGTGGTTCTCAATCCAGGAGCCATGATCTCTTTGGAAGACGAATGACCCTTTCACAGGGGTCACCCAAACCCCCAGAAAACATAGATATTTACATTATGATTTATAACAGTAGCAAAATTATAGTTATGAGAAAGTAATCAAAATAATTTGATGGTTGGTGGTCACCAAAATATGAGAAACTGTATTAAGGGATTGCAGTATTAGGAAGGTTGAGAACCTCTGCACTGGAGCAAAGAGAGATGGGTTCTGAGGATGTTACGATTTGGAAATGGGAGGTCCACCAAGACATGGATGGTAAATGCTTGATCCTAGCTTGGTGCTCTTGGGAGGCGGTGGGAACTAAGAGGTGGGGCCAACTGGGAGGTCACTGTGGTTGTTGGGGGCAGATCCTCTAGGTGGGTGATAGGACCACCATCTCTTCCTCTGTCTCTCTCTCACTTCCCACCATGATGAGCTATTCACCCCACACTGGAAGCTTCAAAGTCACAGATCCATCCAGATATGGACTGAAACCTTCAACACTGTGAACCTAAGTGAACCTTTCCATTTTATCAGTTAGTTAGCTCAGATATTTATTGTAGAGATGGAAAGCTGACCAACGCAGGATTTTATTAAGAGATTGTAGTAACGGAGGGAAGGCTGCGAAGGGTCTTCTGGTTTGTGTGCTGTTACTTTGACAGCCACTGATCTTCTGTGGCACACTCATACAGGACACAGGCTTTACCCAATTCCTTGAACCTTGTGCTTTCTTTAATTGGAAATCTCAAGTCTTTGGGCTGTTTGACGATATCCTAGGACTTTCAGTGCTTTTCTGACTGTTTGCTTAGCTGCCAGCTTCTAAAGATCTTCTAGACTTCCATTAGGGAGGGCTCCAAGCAGGTCAGTACCAGCAGCCTTGAATTCAGGCAGTAGGCCAAACAATGAATAGAAGAGGTATTGTGTAGCGGCATTTCATTTGTGTCTTAGTAAATAAAGCTTGCCTGGAGATCAGAAAAGTAAAACAGCCACACTGGACAGCCTTACAGACCAGCGAGGCAAAGCAACCAGTCAAGGTTTTTACCTCGACCTCAGTCCAAAATTGGCGATCCTGCCTCCAGGAATCTCAGAATGAGACTGAGAGCTGTCTCCTCCCGTTTTATAATCTTCTCTAGTTCTGGGGTTAAGGGTGTGCACCACTACTGCCTGGTTTCTATGGCAAGCTAGTGTGGCTCCTGGGATAAAAGGTATGTGTTGTCATTGCTGCCTGGTCTGTAAGGCTGGCCGGTGTGGCTGTTTTACTTTTTTGATCTTCAGGCAAAGCTTTATTTATTAAAATACAAATGAAATGCCACTACAGTGCTGTAGTCGGTAATTAATGAAATCCACACAGAATGCCATGGTACTGGAGACCGTCATTGTCTGGAGGAGAAAATGCTGTCCTGGGAGGCTCTGGATGGCCTTGGAACAGCAGCAGGAAGGTCTCAGGGGTCAGACCTCTGGAGTAGTTAAGGACATGGGTTGAAAATGGGTTATTGACTGGACATCCTTATGTTCCTGGACAAGTTCACTGTGTTCACAGGGCCACTGTTTTTGCATCTATAGAACAGAAACTCAGATGAGCTGCTGTGGCCTGGGACCATGTAGGGTCTGGAGTGTTGACTTCTGAGTCATGCTCAGCTGAGCACATAGATAGTAGAGCTAAGGAAGGAGGGATACTTTTCTTGCTAACAGTGACACCATTTGAAGATGTGGGCCTTGGAGTTTTGTGTAAGTGTGAATCACCAGGGATAGAGTTGATACTGGGTGTTTGATTGAAATAAGTCTCCAGAAAGGTCTAGAGGTGGTGTTGGGGAAATTGCCGAGTGGGTAAAGTTTACATGGCACATGTATGAATTTAGATTCCCCAACACCCACATTAAAAACTGGGCATGACAATGCACCTGTAACTCTAGTGTGTTGGTGGGGAGACAGTGTATCCCTGGGATTTGCTTGCCAGACAGTTTAGCCGAAATACTGAGCTCTAGATTCAGTGAGATAGTCTGTTTCAAAAGACAGCACAGAGAGCAATTGAGGAAGACACCTGGCAACTTCTGGCCTGCCTGCCTGCAGGCTGGGTGAATGCACCTGTGCACCAGGCACACACGGGTGCATGCACCACATTCATGCGCAATAAATAAGAAAACAAACATGCATGGCTCTTCCCACTAGACCTGACCACTCTGTGTGGAAGGGAGGTAGATGACTCTGAGTGTATGTCTAAAACAGCGTGTAGCCATTCATCAAGGGGAACTTGAGGTCCCACTTCTACTGTCTCAGAAGGTGGCCACTCCACACAGAAAGTATCAAGTAGAGGTAGCTAATTAAATTCAACTTGAGATGACCTATGAGTGAGAAATACATTATATAACAGAAATAATACAAAGTATCCTAGTCATTTCCTACTTAAATAATAATATTTAGACATATTGGGCTAAAGAAAATAGTGTAGTAAAATGTGACCCCTTAATCTCCCTGTCTTCCTCTACCATTGTTATTAGAAAATTTAATGTAACATATCTTAAATAAAACATGTGGCTCACATTCTAGTTCTATTGGACAGTGCCAAGCAAGGTCACTGAAGGTTCCTTCTGAACATGAGCGTTCGGGAGTCTGATTGTTCTCTGTGTCTCCGCTTGCTCACCATGTATTCCCCGAGGCCTCTCTTGGCTCCTGTTAACACAGGACATGGATGAAGCATGAGGAGGGAGCATGTGTGTTTGTTTCTGCTTTTCACTCCTTTTCTCTCAGAACTAGCAGAAGACAAATGTGTCACTGTAGAGGTAATCAATGTTCACTTCCAGGATATGATTTATTGACATTTTCTCTCTGAACGAAGACAAACTTTCATGTCATTTAGAACTCCTCGGGAATTCAATGTTATACACCACAACCCAGAAGAAAGAAGATGGCTACTTGAGGCATATTGTCCTTCTGATTGGTGTTCTCAATACCTCTGACAGCTCCACCACCCGGTCGCTGATAGACCGTGCTCGGTTCCCATAAGGGCCTGAGAATAACCCTGTTGCCCTGCTAACTACAGGGTGGTCAGAGCCGGAGGACCAACATGGTACTAACACTGTCTAATCTCTGTTTCCCCCTCACTTTCTTTGCTACGTGTGCCTTTTGTATGCATAAAAATGCAAAAAGACACAAAACCATCTCTCTCCATGTCAACTCGAACACTTCTGTTTTCTCTCATTGGTCCATAGTGTCAGCTGGAGAGTAAGTACTGACTTTTGCATTCAGAGTTGAACTTTTGCACCTAACTTTATGTGGCATCTAATTCCCCGAAACAGTTTTCCCTCCTCCTGCCTAGCCAGGTCTTGGTCTAGTTATGCCAGCTCTTTATGCCTTCATTTCCTTGGCTATAAAATGAAGATGGTGACACTTACCTTGCAGAGATCCTGGAAGCTTGAATAGGCTAATGCAGGAAAGGGTTGGGAAGAGATCCTGGCCTTTGATAAGGCTAAGCAGCTGTACTGAGCTCATAAGGGCTCCCAGAACAACAACACCTTCTTCTTTTTCTTCTTCTTCTTTTTCTTCGTCTGACAAATGGCTCAGGAAAGGTCTGTCCCTGGATTCACATCTGATTGGGAAAAGGGCAGGTCCTGGGTGGCCCTGATGATGTAACACACCTGTTTTCGGTAGATTTCAGTGGTTTGGGAAGTGGCCCATTTACTTGCATTTCACCAGGTTGTTGCAATGGGTTTCATCAACCCACAACCTTGGCCCACAGCCAGAAGGAGCATTCATGGCTACTGTGAGCAGCCATCTCCAAGGTGTTACTTCATCAGTCATGGAGAGAGGGTGCGTGCCACTTGGTGATGTTGTCCTGCTAACACGGAGAGAGATGCAGCCACAGAGCACACGTTCTTAATTTGATTCCTTAGGGGACATTGGGTGCACCAGCAAGGAGGTGGGTGATTGTGTGTGTGTGTGTGTGTGCGCATGCGCATGTGTGTGTGAGAGAGTGTGTGTGAGTGTGTGTGAGAGTGCATGTGCGTGTGAGTGTATTGTATGTATGTGTGCGCGCGCGTGTGTGTGTATGAGAGTGTGTGTGAGTGTGTGTGACTGTGTGTGAGAGTGCATTGCGTGTGTGTATTGTATGCGTGTGCATGTATGTGTGCATGTGTGTGTGTGCGCGTGTGTGAAACCTGAGCTTCTTGAGGCCTATAAGACCACTGGAAAATTGATGACAATCATGTGAAGTGATGTGATGAAGCTTCTACTCCATGGAAACCTCTAGCAGACATCAGAGGAACAGAGCATCCTAAGCACCTAATGGTCTGAAGAAGCAGAGCCAGGCACCCTTGTAGGTGAGAACTAGT